TGTGTAGCAAATGTACCTAATGTAATATGAATTTTCATCTCTTGACTGCTGTTTCCATAATCATTGATTGTGGACCCAAGTAGGAAAAAAACCTTGAAGTCAACCTTTTCTCCATTTAGTATGACATTACCTATTGGTTCACTTGTGAAGATTTGGGTTTTTTTATTTTTTTATTTGGGTATTCTTTACATTGAGTTGTAGTTCATCCTGAAGGCTACAATCCTTGATCTTCATCAGCAAGTGCTTCAAGTCCTGCTCACTTTCAGCAAGCACGATTGTGTAATCTGAATACCGCATGCTGTTAATAAGCCTTCCTCTAATCCTGATGCCACACTCTTCTTCAAAGGATTCAGCTTCTCTCACGATTTCCTCAGCAGAAAGAGTGAACAAATAAATATGAGAGGATACAACCATGACACACTCCTTTCCTGCTTTAAACCATGCAGTATTCCCTTGTTCTGTTTGCACAACTGCCTTTTGATCCATGTACAAGTTCAGAATGTGTACAATGAAGTGTTCTGGAATTCCCATTCTTCTCAAGGTTATTCAGTTTATTATGACCCACACAGTCCAATGCCTTTGCACAGTCATGAAACACAAGTAAACATCTTTCTGGTGTGCTCCACTTTGAGCCAAGATCCGAATGACAGCAGCAACGATATCCCTTGTTCCATGTCCTCTTCTGAATCTAGTCTGAACTTCTGGCAGTTCTAGCAATCCAACCTTTGTTGGATGATCTTTTTTTTTTTCTTTTTCTTTTCTCTTGAGAGTGAGACAGTGAGAGAGTGAGAGTGAGGCAGTGAGAGAGTGTGAGTGAGGTAGTGAGAGAGTGAGGCAGTGATAGAGTGTGAGTGAGGCAGTGATAGAGTGTGAGTGAGGCAGTGAGTGAGTGAGGCAGTGAGAGAGTGTGAGTGAGGCAGTGAGTGAGTGAGGCAGTGAGTGAGTGAGGCAGTGAGAGAGTGAGACAGTGAGAGAGTGAGATAGTGTGAGTGAGTGAGAGTGAGGCAGTGAGTCTTGGATGATCTTACATTTTACTTGTGTGCAATAGCAATGATATAGTTTTATAGTTTGAGCATTCTGTTGGGTCACCTTTCTGTGGAATGGGCACAAATATAGATCTCTTCCAGTCCATTGGTCTTTTCCAAATTTCCTGGCATAGATGAGTGAGTGCCTCCAGGGCTTCTTCAGCTTGCTGAAACATTTCAGTGGGTACTCACTCCATCAATCCCTGGAGCCTTGTTTTTGGATAATGCATTCAGTACAGTTTGAACTTCTTCCTTCAGCACCACTGGTTCTTGCTCAGATGCTACCTCCTTAAATGGTGGATTGTCGACTAGGTCTTTTTTGGTATAGTGAGTCTGTGTATTTTTTCCATCTTCTCTTGATGCTTCCTGCATCATTCAACAGTTTGCCAACAGAATCTTTCAAAATTGCAATTCCAGGTTTGAATTTTTTATTGAGTTCTTTCAGTTTAAGATAATGCTGAACATGTTCTTCCCTTTTGTTTTTCTAATTCTAGGCCCTTGCACATTTCTTTATAATATTTGGCTTCGTCTTCTCGAGTTGCCCGAGTTGTCCTTTAAGATTTTCTATTCAGCTCCTTGACTTCATCATTTTTTCCATTTTCTTTAGCTACTTACTGTACAATTAATAGCAAGTTCTTTCCTGTCTTTTTAGTGACCTTTGACTTTTTTCATGGATGGTCCTTTTTTTAGTGCATTTTATTGTCTATTTTTATTAACATATCTTATACAATCCAATATATCCATTCACATTTCAGTTCTGTTGTTCAATCCCATCGAGGGAGGTTATACAATCATCAATGGATGATGGTCTTGATGTCCTCCCACAGCTCATCAGGGCTTCTGTCATTAATGTTCAACGCATCAAATCTGTTGCTGAGAGGTTTCCAAAATTTGGGTGTGACAGGCTCAAGTTCATATTTGGTTCTCGTGGACTTGTTTTCATTTTCTTCAACTTTATCCAGAACTTACCTATCAACAATTAACGGTGTGTTGCATGGCCAGCCCCTGGTCTGGTTTTAGCTGCCAATACTGAGCTTTTCCATCATGTCTTCCCACAAATGTAGCCAATTTGATTTTTGTGTATTCCATCTGGGGAAGTCCACGTGCATAGTCATGTTTTGTGTTGTTGAAAAGAGGTGTTTGCTATAAACAAGTCGTTGGTTTTGCAAAATTCTGTCATGGGATCTCCAACTTCATTTCTATCACCAAGTCCATATTTTCCAACCCCTCTTCCAGTCACCAATAACTATCAATGCATCTTGAGTGCATGTTTGATCAATTTCTGACTGAAGTCCTCGGTAGAATTCTTCCGTTTCTTCATCACTACTTTTGTGGTTGGTGCAAAAAGTTGAATAATACCTTTTGTCTTGAAGGCAGATAGATATAATCGGATCACAGATAGCATTGGGCTTCTTGATGGATTAATAAGATCCTTTTTTATAATGAATGCCATGCCATTCCTCTCGATTGTATTATTCCCGGAATAGTAAATCATGATTCAAAATGGCCAATACCCATCGGTTTTAGATCACTAATGCCTGGGATACTGATTGTTATGTGTTCCACTCATTTTTAACCACTTTCAATTGTTCTAAATTATACTTTGCACATTCGAGGTTCTAATCATTATTTTTTGCAGCTGTTTCTCTCTATACCTTGAGCTGTGCCCCATCAGCAAATGAAGATCCTGAAGGCTCCATCCCCATAGACTTTACCAGACTCACATCGCCATGGTCCACTCCCCTCCAAGAAATCAACTTTGAGAGTGCCCTGGGACCTGAAGGACCCATCTCCCGGCACTATCTCTGCCAATTTTCTGCCCCTATTTCCTTTGTTTAGGCTTTATTTGAAAATGATTTGAAGCTATGCATAAGATTTTTGATGGCTACCTCCTCCTAAGTGGGGAGTCGAGTCCTTCTTTGTAATATGTACGTAACATGGCTCCTTTGTCAGTCCTGACTTAGTGGATCATATAATTGCCTTACTCAATTATATGATCCACTAAGTCAGGACTGACAAAGAGAAGCCATGTTACAAAGAAGGACTCGACTCCCCACTTAGGAGGTAGTCATCAAAAATCTTATGTATAGCTTCAAATCATTTTCACTTGACTCTCTGCTTCCTCACCTGCAGAATGGAGTGAATAATAGAACTGACAATATAGTCTAACATCCAACTATCAGTTTGTCAAAATGTGATGGCTTGCATGTTGTTTTGATGCTAGAAGCTAAACCACCAGTATTTGAAATACTAGCAGATTAGCCAATGGTAGACAGGCTAGATGATCTTTTAGACTAAGACAGGCTAGGAAGAAGGCATTCTATAAACATTGATGACTGAAGACCGTATGAATAGCAGCAGCATATTGTCTGATATAATGTGAAAGATGATCTCAAGTTGGAAGGCATTGGACCTTGGTTGACTGGTGGGGATGATTCCAAATGAGAAGAGACAGCTGCAAACCTTATTCAGTGTACAGAGCACGAATCCAGGAATATTGGAAAGTGTGAAAAATAAAATGGTCCAGAAAGCTTTACTCCGTCCAGTCACTAAGGGCGACTTTACTTTGAGGAGGTACCTCTCCCCCAATCATATTTCCAATACCTTCCAACTTGAGATCATCTTTCACATTATATCAGACAATATGCTGCTGCTATTCATACGGTCTTCAGTCATCAATGTTTATAGAATGCCTTCTTCCTAGCCTGTCTTAGTCTAAAAGATCATCTAGCCTGTCTACCATTGGCTAATCTGTTAGTATTTCAAATACTGGTGGTTTAGCTTCACTCTATTCTGCAGGTGAGGAAGCAGAGAGTCAAGTGAGGTTTATTTATTTCCCCAGGGTAGCACAGCTAGGGAGTTACAGAGGTAGGGTTTTGAACCAGGTATTTCTGGCATCAATTTGTGTTCTTACATAGATGAGGGGACTTCAAAATGTTCATGCAAAAGTTCCATTGTTTTGTAATTCCATTTTCCACGAACTTTTCTGGGCACCCTTGTACTTGTCTTTCTAAAGGGCAATAGGAAAATACTGAAAGGTTTTAACCAGGAGTGACATCAGACTCTGTTTTGTAGATCACTAGATTGAAGGAAATTTAGGGTGGAAATCAAGTAATGTATTGCACTGGGCACAAAACAAAAGACTCACTTAAAGTATTAAAAAGCAAAAATATCACTTTGAGGATTCAACTGCTGTGGGGGCCCAGCCTCTACAACGGAATCAGTCTTAAAGGGGTGGTTGTATAATTGAAGGGTAAATTAAGGAGACATCAGGCAAGGCATGCAAGGGCTCACCTATTCTGATGGCAGGATTAAGAGTGAGCTAATGTATTCTCTAACAGGTTTATATACTCTCGGATATGCAAACCATGTCATACACATACATAATAGGATGGGGACATGTTAGAGGCATACAAGTAACAGGAAGGTACAAATATAACAAGATGGGCGGGTTCTAGAGTTAAGATGGCACTTATCCTTGGTCCTCTCTGAGCTGGCTAGACCTTAAGTGTCCCTGAGCTCTTCTCCAGGGGAGCAATCTATGATTCATATCAGAAGGGAGCAGACCCTACTTTAGGGTGAGGTGGTCTGATAGCTCTCAGTGGCAGACAGTTTCCAGGCAAATAACCTTCAAATGTATAGTAGCAACCACGTGCTTGCAAACCGCATCTTAAAAAACTGGCATTATTGGGGGGGGGGGCATTGTGTGGAATAACTTTTCATTAGGAGAATGTGACTGGGATTCATCTCCAACTCATGATTGGGAGGCCTCCCTCCACCAGTGTCTTAGCCTCTCAGCATTAGACTCCTTAAATACGAGTGTAGACCATTTCTCCCCATATATACTCTCTTCCTAGTTCTCAGTTTCCCACAAAGTAGTGTCTGACACAAGTCCTGATATTGAGAGATAAAAGGTAGAGCCTGCAGACAGAATGAAGCAAAAGGGGGAATCAGAAGCTTTGGGCCAAGGGCAGGATGTCTGGAGGGATGATTTCAGCAGCCTACGAATATTTAAATCTTATAACTGTGGGCATCAAGACCTCTAAGCTGATTCTCAAACCCAAGACTGCTTTTGCTGAGGCACTGCACGCTTATACTGTCCACGCCTTTGAAATATCTGGTTATGAAGAGGCTGTTAGAACAATACAGCTGAGAAGAGGGAATGTCAGAGATGATAAGCAGCAGTTAGTGGATTTGTGAGCTCTTTTGGAATCCAGAGAGGGCAAAGTATCTTAAAAAAAAAAAAAAAAAGAATCCAGAGAGAGCTTGGTTTTTGGACAAGCTTACCCGGTAAAAATGACACTCAGGTTTCTGACTTGGAAAATTGAAAGAAGACAAACTCATTCACTGAGGTTTCTGAAGAAAACACGGTCTTAGGATCTTAAGAAGTTTGGGGTCGGGTACGGGGAGTTTGTGGTGTCTCTAACGCCCAGACGTCAACTGAAGAGTCCAAGTGTGGCGCGCCGATCCTAA